GTGTTTATAAAATGTATAAGATATTTGTTATATTTTAAGGCATCATCACTATTTTTATTGATAAAATGAAAAATTGTGTCATATACAGTTTTATATTTATAAAATATGTATAAGATATAATACATATGATGTATAATACAGATTTCTTCTACTTTATGAAGTGATACAAATTATAAGAAATTTCAAGACAAATGGGCAAGTGTGAAGAAATCTTTTACATCAAAGGAAATACGAAGATGAATGAACATTTGGTAATAACAATCCAGTGTCAATAACAGAATTGCATGTTATCTGTCATATTATAAGAATTTTGTTTCCTTTTAAAATGAGAATATCCAGTTCTGATTTGGTTGTAAATGAATAGATCATCTTAAACAGTTAGGAAAATTAATAGAACTTCTTTAAAAAAGTAGAGATCCGAGCAATGGAATGTTATGCATGCATTTAAATAATATCCATGAAGATCTAAAATACTATCAGAAAAAAATTGCTTTAAATGGCATCAAGAGACCAATTATGTTGTTGCCAGTAGTATAAAATATGCGTAGGAAATAGAAAAAAAGGGTAACTATTACTCAGGGTGTACTGCTGGGGCGGACATTGAATTCACTCAGCACTTTGAAGGTTTTATACTATTTCATTGCTCTTAGCATGTGCCCTTACTCTCCCATTGACGAGATACACAGATGGGTTAAGCAAATTACACCAAGACTAACCAGTAGGTTAGTGAAGTAGTAAATATTGTTAGGTCCCTGCTTTTAAATCGCTGTCATATAGCTCCTGTTTTTGTTAAAAATGCAGGATAACGTTTTTCAGTAATTAGCATGACTTTGTATCTTTGTAAACAGCCATACCAATAGCAATGTGTTTGTGTGTGTTGTGTTGTGGGGGGCGGTCCATCAACTATTTTGTGCTGCCAAATACGGGGTTTCTCTAAGGCTGTTTGCGCGCCCCTCTCTGTGCGTCCTCTCCCCAGGCGCCCAGTTTACTGGCTCAGACGCCCAGGGAGCGCCCGGCTTTCCTGCTTTTCCCAGCGCCCGCGTTGCCACAAACACTTTGAGGGTAAGGTTGCCCAGCGCTGAAAAGCGTCCAAGTCCAGGTCTTCTGCACACTCCCTGTTGCCACGCACGTGACCCGCCAGACACCCTCCCCCCACCCATAGCCGCTGCCTGTTCGAGGCCCCTCGCCTAGACTGGTCCAAGCTCCGGGAACGCGGCGACCTTGGGGAGGGAAGGGCCATGCCCTGGCTCAGCGGGAGTCCGCCCTTGGCCCCCCCGCAAGGCCCTGGGGCCGCATTTCGCACCTCCGGGCTCACACTGCGGCTTGCGGGGATCTGGGCTTCAAATGTGGGGACCAACTCCAGCCGCCTGTTCGCGGTCATGGACGGTGCCCCGTGGGGGGTCCCGTCCAGAGCCCAGGAGCACCCCATTTCCGGGCTGCCGGTCCTTTATTAGGTTAGGACAGTTGCTGCAAACAACCGCCAGTGCAAGCTGACTCAGAACATGCCCTTGAGAAAAAAACTGGGTGCTAATGCAAAAGATTTCCTGCGTGTCCAGGCCAAATGCTACCTGGGGGGCGGGGGGGTGGGCTCAGGGGGATGATCGTATTTTACATACTCTGTCCCTGGAGAGTCACTTCTCAGGCTAGCAGCAGGAGGAGGGGGAGCTGTGCTGCCCTTGGGGACCAAAGTCCTTCTTTGGGGGGCGCTGGGGAAGGGTCGCCCTTCACTCAGCAGAGACTCAGGAGCAGGGACCCACCCAGGTTTCCGGGGCTCTGGTGGAGGGAGGTGGATGTTCGGCTTGAGCCCATGTTGCCCTGGTGAGACCTTTCCCCAGCACGAATTCCGCGGGGCGCCCGGTTCCTCTGCCCAGAGGAGCCCACTAGCTGCCCAGTCCGCCAGCTGGGAGGAAAGTGAAACCCCAATGCGATTCCTTATCTGGCTAATGCAAAAGCTCGGGGGAAGGACGTGCCTGCACCCAAATGACTGCAAGCGACTCTGGTGAATCGCTGAACCCCATTGCAAGTGTCAGTGACTAATGAAGTTGGGGGCACGCACACCACTTGGGCTGGTGGACTCCGCGCGTCCAGCGGGGGTGGGGAGGGTCTCCTATCCCAGGCGCTGCGCGCGGGGCTTCTGCCCAGTTTCCTGCCTCGGCTGGAGTCGCCGTGTCCGCCCAGCCGCAGACGGTTTGTGCAATTTAGAAACTCGATAGGAGGCAGCAGCTGATCTCCCACCTCCCTAAAAATAATCTGTGCAGCGCCCGGCGTGCTTCGGCTAGGGGAGGAACACTGCCTTCGGAGTAAGTGAGTCCGTGTCTTTTGTGCAAATAGCATGAAAAACACTAACTGTAAGCTGTCGGTTGTGATCTAACACTTTTCGGCCACCAAAAGCGCCGGTGCCCTGGCTCTGGTTGCCTCTCTGCAGGTCGCTATTTCTAGGATTCAGACGGCGGGGCCCCAGACAGGGGAGAGGATCAGGTTTCCAGCCTTGCCTTCTTGACAAAACTGGGGGCTCCTATTTACAGCAACTGGAAACACAGCAGTGGGGTTAGGATTATGTTTTTTAGGCATTTTCTGGATTGTTCATGCAGTCGTTTTCTATGTGCTTAATTTTTGCAACGCTTTGCGTTTTGTAGGAGTTGTGCATTTCAGATTGATATCGTAAGCCTGGGTAGGACGCCTGGGTTTTGGAGGTAACAAAGTGCACGCCTAAGGGTTCGAGCCAACATCCCGCGATTGCCCAAGGTATTTGTGTTTTGCTTTATTTGGTTAATCAGGGATTTTTGAAAAACCTCAACTGGCAGTGTCTGTTCCAGCATTTCATTTGGTGCTCATAGAACTTCCCAGCTACCGAAGACTAAACGGGTGGGTTGAAGTCAGCAGTAAATCATGTCAGTGGTCACTTTCATGAATAGTTTTCTTATGTGGACCTGCCATGGCCGGATGGATGGATCATAGACACACATCTGCTATTTTATGAACCCCATGTACTGATAGAACAAGAAGTTATTAAAGCAATCGTGTTTGCCAGTGGTTTCCATCCTACAAATGCCTTAGATACTGATAAAGCACAAACTAAATTCTTCAGAATGTCATAGTTTTCATAATGTGAATTTGGTAGTTTCTGAATACGTGAAAGAATTATTTCACATGTTAAGAATGAAAACGGCTGTATTAGTTTCATATTACTCTCTTCAGGTGTTTGTTTCCAAGTCTGTTGGGGCCTCTGAGATAGCTGTTTTATCAGAATTGTTACTGACTGCAGGGTGAGAGAAGACTGGTTTTCACTTATTTTTCTTACAGTCTATCACCACAGAGGTGGACTGACAAGAATAATGATGTACCTAATATAATTTAATACTTTTACCATGTGTTTAGGATTTAACTAGACAGTTACTGCTCCTCTCTGATGGAGGATCCAACAGCCTTGTGAGATCACTTGTCATCTTCATTAATTAAGTTCACGAGTTATAAGTCCTCTGGGCTGGAGTGCTGGTGGGGCAGTGAGTTAAGTTCTGGGCTGCTAACCACTCCTGAGTCAGCAGTTTGAGCCCACTAGCTGCCCTGAGGGAGAAAGATGGGACTTTCTGCTCCAGTAAAGATCTAACATCTCGAAAACCCAAAGGGTTTTGATGTTGTCTGATAGGGCGGCATGTGTTGAACTTTCTGGATGGAAGTGAGTTGGTGTCATGAATGTCGGGCAATACATTTAAGGAAATACGAATACTGAGGTTAATAGTCTCGCCATGAAATCATACACTTGGTTATCTGCGTATTTGCTTGTCTGATTTATGCTTGCTGCTCTATCGATAGCTCCTATAATCAAAGCTTCACTTTTTTCTTTGTCTTCAATGGTCTTTTGGTAAAGTCCTCTAGCCCCGGAGACTGTTAGGCACTCCTGAGCAGCTTCAGTGGGTCGAAGCTTCCGAGAAGGCAAAGTCACATCTTTGAACCTGGTCTCTCATCTCTCTTCCTCCTCCTTGCTGATTAGTGATTAGCTGATTAGCGACTGACTCTCAGTGCTTTGATGACTCAGACAGCTTCAGAAGGGGTGTGGCTGTAGGAGGTCAGGTGGGATTTTAGCTAGCTGCAGGACCAACTTATTACATCCCCCCCAAATAAAAACAGCTCTCCCCACACAAGACAACAATGCATGATTAATTTAACATAGGTTCTGGGAAGGCTATGTTGGGAGTTGACAACTGACTTAATTAGAAATCTTGATTTAATAAAACAAAACTATTGTCATCTTCAACATCTATGCAACAAACTCAATCCTTTTTAAATTCACTTTGGATTGTATGTACAGTAGCTGTAGCATGGATGGCACATACGCTGGGCAATGGAGAAAGGAGGCGAAGGGGTGAAGGAGGCGGACGGAAGAGGAGAAGACAGAGGGAGCAGGCAGTTTGGGGACCTGGGTGCAATGTGGGAAAAGGAAGAACAAAATCTAAAAATTCGAAGTCAGCATTTTAATGTGATTATATCAGTATCTGTTTCCATGTGTGTGCTTGTATATATGAGCCCTAGTTGCGTAGTGGATTACGCATTGGGCTGCTAACCACAGGGTGGAAGTTCAAATCTACTAGTTGTTTCTGGGGAGAAAGATGACGCTTTTTGTTCCTGTAAATATTTACAGCCTTGGAAACATAAAGGTGCAGTTATACGCTATCCTATAGGGTTGCCATAGTCAGAACAGGCTTGATAGCAGTGGGTTATTTTGGTTGGTATACACACACGTGTGTGTATGCATGAATTAAAGGAGCCCTGTAGTATTATCACACAGGTGTTGTGAACATTGGCCTGCTAAGTGCAAGGTTGGTGATCCAGGCTCTCCATTCTGCCTTCATACAGAGTTATAGAAACCCTATGTGGTGTCCTTGTGAATCAGAATCTACTCAGCGGCAGCGGGGTGTATATGGGTGACTTCAAAATGCCACTTTATTTTCATTCTGTTTTCCCCAAAGCTTTTGAAGCCCTCTCATATATACCTTTACACTATACCCAGAACTGTTGCAGCCAGTGTGGTCATATGTACTAATGCATTTTCATTAATGACTAGCACATGATCAACGTTCAGTGACTATTTTATAATTAATTAATTAGTGGCCAAGACATCTGGCACACAACTGAAGAGGTTCTGAAATGTTTTCAGGTTGTTCTACTTCTTTGATAATTTCTTTACACAGCTACAGAGCATTGATTCAAAGACTATTCTTCTCAGGTGTCATTAAAATACTAGATAGGCAATGATTATAGCTAACAGAGAACATATTACGCAAATTCAGAGAATTCCTTTTGGCATCTGGCTCAATGATAATGAGTAAATATCCGGGTTCACAAATATGGCCAAGTTGGAATATTACAACTTTGTATTAAATTACACAAGTTAACTAAAGTAAATGTACTGTCGGATTCATACTTGGAGACAGTTCACACATGTCTTTCACTTACGAGTGGATTTAAATTTTCCCCTTAGAATTTCTACCAAATATGAGTTGTCTAAAAAATTCCATTACTAGCAATTATTTTTTAGCTTCTGTTGTTTTCATCTTTACTAAAAATAAACATAAATACAAATATGAACTATAACTTCCACTTCCTGTTATTTTTTCCCCTTTGGCTCTAGCAACCAAATTTATTCTCTAGACACCAGAAAGCCAAGGAGGCTTGCTTTCTTTTGAGCTTTGCAGGGATGTGCTTGCCTCCTTTCAATGTCCAAAGTGCCAGCCACCGTAGAGAGCCCCTCGCGTTTTGGCCCCTATCTTCTCCTGCAGCGAGGAGGTTCTAAGTGCGGGGAGGCAGGTACAGAGGAATCTCTGCTTTTTTGATGGCACTAAGGTCCCTCAATTTTCCTGCTTTGTTAAAAACTTAAGTTTTTTCTAATTTTTTATTGGTCGTAGGATTTAAACCCCAATACCACCCTCTGATAGTGGATTCCAGCTCATAGTGACCCTATGCAACCCAGTAAGACAACGGCTTCAAAAGGCCCCTGCCTGAGACGGTAAATCTTTGCATGTGCATAGAGCCTCATCTCTCTGGTGCAGCCCAATGCCTAACTCACGGTGTCACCAGGGTTCCCATTGTTTGTAAGAACTTACCAAATACATAACCTCATGCTAAGTTCTTCTTTTCTTAACTTTAACTATTATTAAAAGATGAGATGTGGTCTCAACCAAGAGAACATAACAATGGGTTAGCAATTAAAAGATTTCTAAGAAAGGATATGCGAGGTTTAGTATAAAAGTATAAATCTATGGACTATTCAACTCATTCTATCCATATAATCTTTTCATTTCAAAGTGAATTTCTCCAATAGTTTGTCTGCTATTATCAATATCCCCACTGTAGCCCTCTTTGTTGTTGTTTTTCTTTTCCAGGAAAAATATTGCTCGGGACTATTGCTCCATCAGTAATCAATGAAAGGGAAGGGAGACAGGGTACTGGCTTAGGTAATTAACCTTTGCCAACTTTTAATAATCTAACTTAGAATCCAATGCAACGTAAATATGAAGGGGAAATAAAAGGTCTGGCAAGGCTTAAAATCCTAAATTGTACTTATCTTAATAAGAGTAGATAATATATTTTCTTTAAGAAAAAGAAAGGGTCAGAGATGGTGTGATGTAGTAGAGAGAACGTAGAGTGGATATTCTAAACACATGCAGGTGTAGATCCCAGCTTGTCTACTGGTTGACAAGTTACTAACCCTAATTGAGGCTTAGTATCCCTCTGTGGTAGCCTGGTTGTGTAATAGGCTACAAGTTGAGCTGCTGACTAAAAGGTCAGCAGTTCAGAACCACCTGGTGCTCCAGGGGAGAAAGATGCAATGTTCTATTCCTGTGAAGATGTATAACTCAGAAAGTCACGGGCCAGTGCTCCTCTGCGAGCCCACTGTGAGTTGGAATTCACTTGATGGCGGTGAGTGACATTTTTGTTTCTCTTAAAGTGAGATTCACTGTATCTATTCATCTTGCTTGGGGAATTCCAAGAGTCTTCCAGCATTTACCTATTCCCACGGTCCGTTTGTCATACTACAGTGGCTTGTTTGCAGGGCCACCGAAGAAAAATGGGTTTTAGTAGATTTTCCAGAAAAACAACAGACTAGATAAAAGGAAGAGATTGTCCACTTCTGAGGAACTAGCTGCTGAAAACGTTATAAATAGCAGCATAATTTATATATAATCCTAGAAGATGAACTGCTTGACTTAGAAGGCACTCAAATATGACTGAGGAATGTAGAGCTGAATATCATGATCTGCGTGGAGTAAAGCTTCCAGGATCGCCATTTACTGAAGGGATA